TCTAAGGTGCAATTAAAACCCAGGAGGGCATGGAGCTACCTGCCAAGGAGCAGCAGGTAAGCGCATAGTCTATAGGACTATGCGCTTATATGGCTGCCTAATCCTAAGGTACAAACAAATATGAACTGTACAAAATCTCAGATAATCTGTGATTTAAATCAGTGGTTGTAAGTATTCAATATTTACATCGGCCTTCCTTAAATTGCACTTCATTTAAATCAAACTGGTAGCAAATCTGCGAGGTTTTGAAACAAATATGTTGCTGAATATTTGCAAGGATAGAAAACAACACACTGACTGATGACTTCTGATCAAATTACTTGAGTCGGATATTCCTGGAAGGGCTGATTAAGCTGAGAGCCCACTCTCAGGCACACATTATTGCTCTGAACAAGGCACTAACACTTTGACCTTTGGGATAGGGCAGATTTCCCACTTGTTGTTTTCTTGTGATTGTAGACAATGCATTTGTTTGCTCATTAACTAAAAAATAAATTGCATAATGGTAAATGTTGTCTTGCAGACAAGCAATATCATCAAAACAAAGGTCAGCAAAAATGATGCAGTTGGTAAGGGCTGGCATGTTTATTTTATTTGATTATTTCCTTCATTCTGCTCTTTGCAGTTCTTTGCATCTATTGCAATACATTTATTTTAGATTATTCCCTTTTGTTTTTACCTTAGTTCTACCTATTAATATTATGTTTTTTGTGTTGTTTATTTAAAGTTGCCAACATTTCAGTGATCTCAAACATTTTGAAACAGGCTGTTCGTGCAGTGTGTCACTTCTGTGTGGAAAAGGATCGTCTTTATCTGAATCACAATCAGAATCCTTTTATTGCCGTTAAACATCAGATGTTTAACAATTTTAATGAATAACAACCCCCCCCCAAAAAAAAAAAAACCCAGATAGTTAGCAATAAAAAACATCTATGTGCTACAGATAGTAACAAGTACATATTAATTTATCTCCCAGGTTTGAAGCTGTATGATAGTGATGTCCACAGACCATGCTAAACAAACACGTCAGTATAATCTAATAATAGACCTGGGGTATGTTATGATGTATGATGGGATTCCACTGTGAGGGGGTAAACAACAGATGGCATTAGAACAACAGTACTGAATATGATATGTACAACTACAGATGAGTCACAGGCAAAAGCTTAAAAAACTATTTCAGTCTAAATGTGTGCTGTACATAATTACACACAGCTCAAACTAACAGCGGGATTACCATATAAACAGAAACAAACAAAAACTTTTGTTATTCTTGTTAGTCTTCAGATTCAATTCAGTCTTTATTGAAAATAATGTTACTTCAATGTAAAGTAATTGAATACCTTTCAATTTTGGACCATTTCACGTGGAGTACAGGCCTTTTAGGGTAAACAGAGGAATTTCCATGTGTTTACTTCACTGTTTTGTGTTGGCTTTTAAATTATTAACTACAAATGAGTTCCAGTTTAATTAGCGACTAATGAATGTGATTACAATGAGGGATTATTATCAAAGAAAGCAGTTATCCAATCATTAAAAATAGTTTTCTTCTTCAGTGAAACTAGAGGTTAAGACTTATCCTGCCATGCAATGAAAAGAGATTCAAAAACACCTTAATAAAATCATTCCTGTACAAATAATCACTGCTGGGATTCATGCATCTGTTGCATTGTTTGGTTCTGATATCACATTTATCAAGTTGACATCCTAAAACACAGAGCTGTGGCTCAGTAAACTAATAACATTATACTCCGAAAAAAAATGTGCAAAGGGTTTAAGCAAATAGACTGCACGTCCCTCAAAGTTGACACAAGTGTAGTACAAAGATTTACTGACCTTGTTCACCGCTGGAATTCTTTGTGCACCCACTGCTCCCACTGCACAATTTTCCTGAACAGGAAATTTTCTTTCTAAAGTATAGTGATGACTGTACTTGGTTGTAATTTGTTGGCAGATTCTTTATTGGTAATTACAAAATTCTCCACCTTAGGGGTAAAGTAGTGCACCTAGGAGAGCATTTTTACATACTTTGATTGACTATGCTAAAGTAAAAATTAGGAATCCCTAAAAATAAATACTGCAGCCTCATTTCCAATTTAAATTGTCACCACTGAATATCATCTACCTGATTTAAAACTTTTAAGAGACTTGGATCCTCTGGTTCTATAATTGGAGCTACAATCTGTTTTAGAGTTCAGCCATATATTTTTATGTTGGCGTAAATGTCTTCTTCGTCAAATGGAAGTGCAAATGGGTTAACATATAACTTATGTCCTTTTGGCTGTTTTCCAATGTGATTATTGGCAGCTCTTTAAAAGCACAATGCTGGTGGCTGTTTTAACAGTATTGGGTATTAGATATTTGTTTGTCAGAAGACAGAACGAGACTGTGGGCATCCCTTGGGTTTCCCTGTGGGACCAATTGAAGGATTCTCCTACAGGCAGATGGCTATCTGCATGACTTTATACTAGTGTCTGTCTCATGATGCTATCATTCTAGTAGACACACTAACAAGAACATTTGTACATAGAAGGATGAAGACACATAAAAATAGGGAGAGTCGACTTCAATGATGTAGCAGCAGGTTTAGTTTTAAGTTGCTCTTGAATTACAAACACAGGATTTATTTAACCATATGCAAAAACAGGTACTGCACTACATGAAAGAAACTAAACTTCAGCATTTATTTCAAAGTTGAAAGCTATCATTGGAGAAAATGGACTGTGGCATTTATACAGGAGACAATTATTCACATACACATTCAACCATCAGATTCTGATGGCTGAATCTATTTGCGATAAAAGTGCTGCAAATACATCTCTTTGTTTTTTCCCCAGTCTCTCCTCTAATGCTGTCCAGTGGGTGGGGTCTGAACAAATGAGTGACGGCTCATGCGTTGTGCCTCCGCTCTGATCCATCTGGGACTCACCGTTAACTGCCTGTGCTGCTGCAGAGCTGTCTTTTCCTGCCCCTTACCCCCCAACACACACACAAACACACACATACACACACTCATTA